ATTTGTTATTTCCGAATTTTATAATGTGATTGGCATTAAAAACACGCTCACCTTCAACGAAATTTCCTTTCCGAGGCTTTGTGTCAGCCCAATCACATATTGTGTCAATACTTATCATTTTATCGTAATTTAAAAACTTGGCAATTGCACGGTACACTATAGGAACTACGATAAATTTTCCCTAATCGGCGCCATGTTTTAGGCTCCTCCCATTTGACGGGTCCCAATAGAAGGAATTAATTTTAGTTTTCTGGTACAAAACAGCTGTTTTTCAAAAAAGTTTTTACTGTATATATGCCCACATAAAAACGAATTTGTCTCAGGACTATGCGTATTGATACGCCCTTATAAATCACTTTTAAAGATAATACTTTCATCCCTTTTCAGATTGCAACAACCAAAAGCAAATCAAAAAGGGAAAATATTTCCCCAAAGTTAGACGTTTATTAAGTAGGTACCTATCGTCCTTAGTAAAAAAAACTGCAATGATATTGGTTATATTTCTAAGCAAAATAAGCTCGTTATAAATGCTTTTTAGGCTTTGAAGGCAAAAGTTAGGTTATAAATATTGGTAATTAAGCTTGCTATTTACACTCATTACGTAGTTTAGTTGAAAAATATTTCTTGGTGCTTATAAAAATTGCTTCGTTTTTATATTCTTTATTTATGTACAGTGAAAATATAAATGTCTAAGATTGAAAGGTAAGTATCTAAATTAAAAACATTTTTCATTTTCATCTCCTTCTATCCTTCCTTCCTTTATTCCTAAGTTTCCGCCTTCCTTAGTCCCAACTACTTTTCTGTTAGTTCCTATTCCACTTCCTCCAACGTCAGCATCTTATTCTTCTTTTCTTCTTTTATTCTTCTTTTCATTCCCCTTTTTCCTTCTTCCTTCCTTCTTATCCATTTTCCCATCCTTTTTTCTTACATTTCCCCCATTTCGATTACTTTCCACCTCAGCGTTTTATTCGTCGTTAATTTCCTTTTTTTTCATATTCTCGCACGTCAGAGTTTACTTCTTGTTTTCTTTCCTCTTTCTTCCATATTTACCATCTTTTCTCTTAAATTCTCCAGAATTCGATATCCTCCCACGTCAGCGTTTTATACTTATATCCTTTCTTCCTTCTCACACATTTCCTTGTATCTTCTCTTTCATTTTTCTCAGCTCAACTTCTTTAAATCTCATAATTTTATTCTTCATTCATTTCTTCCTTTCTTCTGTCTTTCCTTCTTTTCTTTTCCAAATCCTCTCACGTCAGTATTTAATCCTTATTTTCATTCCTCCTTTCATCTTTAATTCCTTCTATTCTACTCCATTTCCCCCTTTTTCTCTCCCGGTTCCTTATTTTCCCACGTCGGCATTTTATTCTTCATTTATTTCCTCCTATATTCTGCCTCCGCTTCAATTCTCTACCATATCCTCCCACGTCAGTGTTTAATTCTTATTTTCTTTCCTCTTTCTTCCTTCATTACTTCTTTTCCATATTTACCATCTTCTCTCTTAAATTCTCCAGAATTCCATATCCTCCCACGTCAGCGTTGTATACTTATTTTCTTTCTTCCTTTTTTCCCCTTATTTTCTCTTTCATTTTTCTCAGTTCAACTTCTTTCGATTTCATAATTTTATTTTTCATTCATTTCATCCTTTCTTCTGTCTTCTTTTCATTTCCAAATCCTCCCACGTCAGTATTTAATCCTTACTTTCTTTCCCCCTTTCTTCTTTCGTTGCTTCTATTCTTCTCCATTTCCCCCTTTTTCTTTTCCAATTCTCCCAATTCCTTATTTTTCCATGTCAGAATTTTATTCTTCTTTTGTTTGCCCTTCCTTTCTTTTCAAATTTCTCCCTCTTTTATCTTACAATTTCCCCAT